GGTAACCCCTGCATGGTGTGCGAGAAGGAACGTGTTTGCAGCCATGTCCTCCTTCCACAGCTCCAGGGGTTTTCGATTTGGTGCTGCCACCTCTTTTCACTTGCGTTTCCTCAGAACGATTTGTTTTCCCCACCCTTCAAAAGCTTTTGCTTTCTCTGAAAACCGCAGTCTGTCCCTGCTGGCTTTGGTAGTCACGTTCTCAGTAAGGCCCTCGTCGTGCTCCCAACAATGTTATCTGCGCTGGGACTGTGAGAGGCTCTTCCGCCCAGAACGCCTTTGTTTTGTTACCGTAATGTGTCTGAACTGCACGGCAACCTCCGTTTCGGATCCTGTGACTTTTTTTCCCCCCGATACAGCGCACACAAAGAGCTCATTAAATAAACGGACCCGTTAGAACCTGTTGTGAAAAGAGTTCAGTTCTGCCGAAATGCGGAAAGTTTTAGAGGCCAGTGAAACCTATTTTCTCTGATTGTTTCCCTCATTGATTTCATTCCAGTCATTAACACGTTTCTGCCCGAATTTAACTGAAAGATCGTTAAGATGCTCACTGCAGTTTAAGTGGTGTTTGAGCAGTGGCCTGGCTCTTTGGGCCTTTCATCACATTGTAAAGGAAACACCTGTTTTAAGTGTTTTGAATCCGGTGCTTGATTGTTGAACAGCACGTAAAAACAACAGCTGCAAGCTTCAAAACGCTGGACGCAAACAAAAAGTATGTGTTTTCATATTCTTCCTCTTATGTTTTGTACATGTGTGTGCGCTGTCCGTACAGAGTCTGCTTGTAGTCCCATTTCAGTGTGGTAAGACGTTGAAAAGGGAAGAGATTTGAACTGAGCGTGAGGGAAATCTGTCCAGAATGTCACTCCTAGTGTCAGGCTGACAGTGCAGTCCACAGTGCAGGGAGGAAATTAAATACAAAGCAAAAAAGAAAAAAGAAAATCGGAATCGGAAACAGATGAGAAAGCAGTTTTTTTTTTAACTACAGTAAAAGTTATGGTGGAAGGTCACACTACAGCCTTGAAATATTTAGATTAAATTGCACATTCAGCACAGGGACTGAATTCAATTAAAACATGCTGGGAGTTTAGGAGATTTGCATTTCAATAGCCCTGTTTCACTCCAGCGTTCTTCAAAGCAGACCTTTTAAAACGTGGAATTTGGGATCCAGTTCAAAGTACACGATAGGCTGCCTCCCGCTGCAGGAGAGCCAGGGTTTGCCTGTGTAGTGTGTAATGACCTACAGTACACTGGGCTGGCCACTCTGCAAGAAGCCATCTAAAAAACAAGCAGTAAAAAGTGAAATGGTAGCCTATACCAGTGCTGATTACTGTGTTGTTACACTGATAAAACACTCCTCTGGTGACTACGCTTAACAGCAGTGATGCCTCGATACATGTAGAGATATGAAAGAAATAACCTGAGCTCCCTCTGTTTGTTGCTGTGTTCTGCGTTTCTGACTTCTGAGTGCTGTCGAGGCTGTCTGCTCTCTGCTGTCTCTAACGGGACAGACACACAGCGCCTGTGGAAGTCCACTTGCTCCCCTCTCTCTCGTCTTTCTTCCGTCATGACGAAGAGTCTCCGCCCCCAGCTCACATTACTGGAGTTGAATTTCACACGTGCGACCTGCAAGTTGTTAATCCTTTAAAGGAGTCTTAACTCCAAGGTTCTGTTTTCAGCAGCTTTGGAGTTGAGAGCTGAAAAAGTTGCGCTGTGCAGAAGAACAAGTGGTCAGACGGGGCTCAGTTGAGTCTGACTGAGCGTTTGCTCAGTCGGCTGTCAATAACACTTTTACATTTAAACCAAGGATTGGAATTGTTCGCTTTTATTGCGTAGATCTTAAATACTAATGCAAACAGGCTGTCCACTGTGACTCCTTCACCTCTACAGGTAGGACCTGCAGGACCTGTAGCTCTGGATAAGCCTCAGCCCTCTCAGATCCTTTTGTTGTGCGATGTTTCTCCTCCTCTGGAGCTCCCCATGAATACCACTTCCATGGTGTCATGTCAGGTCTGCTGCTCTTTGATCTGATTCATGTGCCTTCCTGTCCTGAGCACAGGCAGAGCTTTGTTGTGGTTCTTTTTCATGTTTCTCTTCTCTCTGGCGGAGGTGGGGGTGGGGGTCCGGCTTTACTGTTTGGTTAGAAGGATGCAGGTGTGTGTGTGTGTGGGGGGGGGGATTGAAGACTTTTGCTTGTGCTGGGATAGCGAATTTGGAGCAGCCACAACAGAGAGCACCTGGTCCGTCGTCTTCCATCTCATCGGCTGCCCAGCAAGCAGGACAAGCAAGGATGCATCCCAGATGATTAGTGCATTAACTGTGTACTGACTCTGCCCCTGGCAGACAGAGCCACGAACTGCAGTACATGGTGCTATTGATGGTTCTGGAACCAGAGTTCGGAACCCGGGTTCATCGGTTTAATGTGGCTCATTCTGGGGACGGTTGGTGATAGGAGAGAGGTTAGGACTGGGGTGTAGTGCGATTTCCACAGGTGCGTCGCACTGTTGCAGACTGTGACCCCTGTGGTCTGACTGTGTGCGCTGCTTCTCTCCCCGACAGAGAGAGCCATACCCTTCGACCACATGATGTACGAGCACCTGCAGAAGTGGGGGCCTCGGAGGCCGGAAGTGAAGTTTTTCCTGCGTCATGAAGAATCTCCCACGGAGAGCGGCGAGCAGGGTGGGTATCCGACTGGCTCGCGCTTCGTTGGCGTCCTCTTCCGGGGAGGGGGAGTTTGAACTTTTCCCTGGAGCTCCGCGATCAGGCTTTTCCTGACTTGTGTTGGAGACTGTGAAGGATTTTGTTTTTAATTTATCTCGAGGCGTGTCAGGTTTTTTTTTTCCCCCAAGAAGCTTGTGTGGTGCAGAAAGAGTCTCGGCAGTAAGCTGAGGGCTTCAGCTGTCCCATTAATAAGCTTCAGTCTTAATAAAATCACCAGCAGTGACCCCTCCTCACCCTTGCACCTGACACCAGTGACAAATGCTTGAAACAGGTGCAGCACTTGGTGAGACCTTGGAATGGCTTCATACATACTGTACCTTTTTTTGTATGCATGATGGGTTGTATGAAGGTTGACTAACATGCACTTAAATTTGCATCTCATTTTGTAGATATATGAAACAGAAGGGTTTGCATCTATAATTGGTTAATGTACGATGTTGCTGTGACAGTAGAACCTTCACACATTAAAGATAGGAAGAAGAATCGTTCGCTTTTGTTCTGACCTGAGGTCACAGGTCACTGCTGATGTATCTCGAGAGAGAGAAGTCAGATGGACGAAGCAGTGCAGGGCTTCATTTTTTCCATGTGTTGCTATAGATTATGGTGCAAACAGCTGATATGAGCGTGCCCTTTTCCAGCTCTTTGAATACAAGGTCACAATTTATTTTCGGCGCACAGCTGTCAAGATTACCCAACGCTAATGACTGGGTGCCGAACTGGGAGAATTCATCAAAAATATGAGCCTGCCGCTATTTTTAGCTCAAGCCGTAAACTGCACATTTGAACACAAGAGGGGAAACAAACACAAAAACAACAGCCCCATAGCCATGGGAGATGTCAGTAGATATTTTTGTTAAGATTGCGGCTAAACAGATCTATTATGTCATATCCAGATGACGGAAAAACAGTGCCATTATTTCTGCAGTTTAGCCATTTTGTGGTTTGGACCGCTGCAGGGCCTTACATCACTACTGCAGATAAAAGGCTAATGAAGTAGTGACATTGGCACGTGGGCGTCGTATGCAGGTGAAGACAGCAGTCCACCTTTCACTCCAACACTTACTCTTCTCTTGCTAAAGCTAGATTTACCCTTTTTACTGAGAAATTCAGCATTTTTTTTCCCCCGCTTTGTCTTTGAGTATCCCAAACCCCTTGTGCGTTTCAAGTGCAGCTTGGTGCGGCGTGTGCAGATCATGGTCTGGCTGGTACCGTACCTGCGCAGCCCTTTGACGTTGGAGATGGGGGGAGTTTTCCAGGCATCCGCTCTGCGGGAATCCTGTAAGGCCCGGTCACTGGCATGAAGCGGTCAAACGAGGCAGACCTGTGCCAGGGGCCCGGCTTTCGCAGGATTCCCAGCCCTGCGCTTTGTCGCTAGGTGTGCCGTTCGCTGGTGGAAAGAGTCTAGACCTTCAAAGAAAGCTCTGTATGCATTTACTGCGTTCGTAGGAATGCGCAGCGTGCACTTCAGTTCCCATGTCTGTTTTGTTTTTTTTTAGGACTCGTGTCTCATTTTCTCTAGAATTTGGAGTCCAACACCAATTGCATTGATTAGCCTTGGAGTGTAGTGATAGCATTTTGTGCCTCATTTGTGAATTATACCCATACTTCTCTTGAAGAGAGCAAGGAAACTTAGTGTGTAAGAATTTTCTGGTTCTTTTGTATTTAGTAATTTCTTGGTTTTTTTTTTAACAGCCCGTACCAGTTTCTTGTTTCTTTGGGTGTCAGGTTACCTCAATAATACACACTTTCTTAGCGTCTTTGTCAGAGTCGTGCGTAAAACCCCATCCTGCTGGGGTTTCACTGGGTTGATAACTGGAGTTTTTATTGGTTATCAATGAAAGGAGATATGAGCTCGAGTTTGATGTGGTGTGAGTTTGGTTGTCTCAGATACACTTTCCTGTAGTACAAAGATGTGGAAGAAGGTGACAAATCGGCTTTGGCAGCTGAACCCAATTGCGGCCTGGAGAGAGCTCAGCTATGCAGGAGGAAAACACCAGTGCCCCCTACAGGCCACCCTTCACCTCGTCAGCTTCTGCCTTGGGGCTCTCAGAAATTGCCTGTTTATCCTTAGCTTATTACACGGCTGGTTTGTTTTGAGCTTTTGATTGTAGAGCTGGTTCTCAGTAAGTGACAAGTTCGTTTAGCGCCGTGATTGCTGTTTTCTTGGAGAGAAAAACAATTGAGACCGCACAGTACATAAAGCAAGCTTGTTTTATAGTGCTGTCACTTTAAGGCTGCAGCAGTCAGATGCTGATGACATGTAATTAGCTTGCTCAGTGTGCAGTGTTTATCCATGAGATTTGTGAAAGAAATAAACCGTCTTTTACATTAACATGAAACCCATAAAAACAACAGTCTGCAAGATTTCAAACAGCTACTCTTTGTTGCCTGGTGTTTACTGCGCTGGGCTCTGTTTTAATCCATATTGAAATTGGCCAAACATGCCTCTGTATTGCTAAATATGGCCCAGGGGTTAGTGCCCTATGTCTGTCTAGCCTGTGGCTGCTCTGTATAGACTTTCCTTGATCTGCAGAGGATTATCATGGAGTGCGAGCCTCTTAATCAGGTATCTCTTTGGGTATCCTTCTAAGCTCCTTCCTCTCCCTGCCAGCAAGGAGGTGAAATAGAGTTCCCTGCAGTATGTTTAGAATGCTCAACTTGCACTGTACTGAAGTCTGCTCTACTCCTATCCTCTGCGAGCCCTAATGCAAGACATCCTTTGAACACTTGTATGCGCATTGATGGCGCTCGTGAGTTGACTTGTGGACTGCATTGATGAAGAAGGCCTCTTTGTTTTCTTTCTGAAAATGCTTCCTATTTCACTGTAGGTGGCCAGCAGTCCCAGGACCAGTCCAACAGAAGAAATGGTGTCAGCCTGCCTGCGGAGAAGCCGCTAGAGATTGGGGTATGTACAAATGTAATATTCAGGGTTTGATGTAGTTGGGTTTGGGTATTTCTTTGGGAGATTTTCTCCCTCACTTTAAGGATCTAAAGTCTGCCTTGAAGCTTGTGTTCATTCTTCAACAGGAAGACAACAGCTGGGCTTTATTCAAAAAAGGCTTTGACCAAACAGTGGAAAAATACAGTCTTTCTCATGATTTCACTGTAGCCCAGCGACTGATTGTTAGCTTAGGCCGTTGCTAATCAGGATCCATTACACTTCCTCTTAATGTTCGAAGCCTAAGAAAAAAGTGTGCATCTGAAAAGAT